TGACATCAAGAACATCATACACGAAGAAAGCAAAAAGTCATTGAGAAGACATGAAAGAAGGAAAAGGTCAAAATGGATGGCAAAATAGACACTGAAACTTGTTCTCCAGCATAGAGATGCTAAAGAAAAAGGAAGAAATGAGGAGGTCCAAGAGCTGAACAGAAAACTTCAAAGATCAGCTCAAGAAGATAAAGCCAAATATTATAATAAAATGTGCAAAGATCTGGAATCAGAGAACCAAAAAGAAAGAACACACTCAGCATTTCTCAAGCTGGGGGAACTGAAGAAAAATTCAAGTCTCAACTTTCGTTATTAAAAGATTCTCTGGGAAAATTTTTGAATGATGCAGAAAGCATCAAAAGAAGATGGAAGAAATACACAGAGTCACTGTACCAAAAGGAAATGGTTAATGTTCAACCATTTCAAGAGGTAGCATGTGATAAAGAGCCAATGATACTGAAGGAAGAAGTCCAAGGTGCATTGAAGGAACTGGCAAAGAACAAGGCACCAGGAATCGATGAAATAAAAATTAAAATCTTTCACGAATGTGAGGCGGCACAGGAAGCACTCACTCATCTCTGTCAAGAAATTTGGAAGACAACTATCTGGCTGACTGATTGGAAGAGATCCATATTTGTGACCATTCCAAAGAGAGGTGACCCAATGGTATGTGGAAATCATTGAACAATCTCTTTGATATCCCATGTGAGTAAAGTTTTGCTAAAGGTAATACAGAAACGGCTGCAATCATACATTGACAGAGAACTTCCAGAGGTTCGAGCCGGATTCAGAAGAGGCCGTGAGACGAGTGATATCATTGTTGATGTCCGATGGATCTTGTTGAAAGCAGAGTATATCAGAAAGATGTTTACCTGTGCTTTATTGACTATGCAAAGGCTTTCGGTTTTGTGGATCATGACAAGCTATGGACAACATTGTGAAGTATGAGTATTCCAGAACACTTAATTGTGCTCATGGGGAATCTGTGCCTGGACCAATAGGCAGTTGTTCAAACAGAACATAGGAACACTGAATGTTTTTAAAAAAGGATTGCGACAAGGTTGTATTTTTTCACCATACTTATTCAATCTGTATGCTGAGCAAATAATCTGAGAAGCTGGGTTCTATGAAGAAAAACGTGGCATCAAGATTGGAGGAAGACTCATTA